TCTATCTCTGTATATCTCCTTGCTGCTCCTCACTGCCCAAGTCTCATTAGGGAAGGAAATTTTTAAGAGCACAAATTTATTTCAAGGGGCAAGTGAAATTTTATCTTAAAGAACTAGAGTAATGCTTCCCAAATGTTAGCTCAAGGACTTAGGTTCTGATACCAGTTCTAACAGACTTTCCCCCTCATACTTCCAAATAATTCCTCAACACCAACTGGGAGTCCTTCAACCCAACTCAATTCTGACACGCCTACCCAGAGACTGGGTCAGATTCCACAGGTTAAGGGCTCAGTCCCACAAGACTGCCCCCTGCTCTCCACCCCCCATCCCCCAGGTCAACAAAAGATCCAGATTGTCATCTGTGCTTCTGACCAACCGGCTATAAATCAGAGGTTCAAATGATCCCCTTCTTGGGTTTGATGAATTTGTTAAAGCAGCTCACACAACTCAGAGAAACATTTTATTTACCAGATTACCAGTTTATTATAAAAGGATGTAACCCAGAAATGGTCAAATGGAAGGGATGCATAGGGCAAGGTTTGGGGAAAGGATGCGGAGCTTCCATGCTCTCTGGGTACCACTTTCCCCGCATCTCCACATGTCCACCAATCTGAAAGCAATCCAAACCCAGGTTTTTTTTTTTTTTTTTAATTGAAGTCTTCATGACATAGGCATGGCTGATTAAATCTTTGACCATAGGTAATTAAACTCGATCTCCAGCTCCTCTCCCCTCCCCTAAACATCAGGGATGGGGCTGAAAATTCCAACCCTCTAATCACATGGTTGGTTTTCCAGGCAACAAGGTCTCATCCGTAGGTTACCTTAGGGCTTTCCAAAAGTCCCCTCACGGACACATAAAAGGCATTTTAATCTCTCTCATCATTTAGGAAATTCCAAGGGTTAGGAGCTCAGTGCTAGGATGAGGAAGACCAAATACACACTGACTATAAATCATAGTATCACAAGGAACATTTCAACCTGCAGCAGGTTTGATTCTGGCAAACTGAGAAAAGTAAAGGCAATAGTGTGTGTGGGTGTAATAAACACACCACTTTCCCTTGGAAAGTATGATCTTTTAATCTGAGATTATGTCCCCTCCTTATTTTGGGGTTGAGGAAGAAATTAAGGAGGCGAAAGTTAAAATGTCCTTTCTTTTATGAATAATGGTGGAAACAGGTGGTAGTTTTTTTTAAAAAAGGTTATTTGTCAAAAACAAAAGATAGATTTTTAAAAATTCCATAGTACTTTTTTTTTAAAAAAGGTTATTTGTCAAAAACAAAAGATAGATTTTTAAAAATTCCATAAAATCAACGATTTATAAATACAACTACATTTTATCACACTATCTTTTTACTCCCACATATGGAATCTCATTTGAGCAAATCAGTACCGATAGGGTGGAGGCACATCCAACATTCTCACCTCTTAGTTCCATGACATCATTTCCAAAATGGTCTTTCATTTTACTTCATCCTTTTAATCAGCTACGTCATTTTCATGATCAAATTTGACTACAATCTGTCATCATTTTAGTCTTATTGTTCCACTACTTGGACGAGGGAACTTTGCATCCGTCAGGACCACCAGGCTATGGACAACTTTTCCTATTCCCTGAAATTAACCCCCTTCCCTGTTCATTCCTTCTCTATCCAGCTTAGATTCCATGGTCTATCAATTCAGTAACTCATTTTGCAGGATCCTCAAATCCGTGGTTCCTTTTTTATAAAAATGTGGGCTAAAGTCCAAAGCTGAATGAAGCCAACACATGCCAATACTCAAATATCTGCATGTTCCTAGATAAAAATCACACAGTAGGGCAGGCTGGCAACACTGTGGTTTCATCTGGGCCCTAAACGCTGCCCAGTGATCTTATTAAACTCTGGTCAGCTCGACTCTCCAGCTCTTGACAACGATGGTTTTAAACCTTCCGTACTCTCCTGACACTTTGGACAGTTAACTTTGAGCACAGCCCTTGTCTTCTACTCCTTAAAAAAAATATAGAAGATATTACAAGAGAACTTCCTGCCACAAAAATTTACAAGCCTTCCTTTATTCACACTCAGCCTCTCATATTTCCTCCTGTTTAAAAAAAAAAAACACCATCCACCTCCAAACAAAAAACCTCCTCTCTGGTCCCCACAATTATGCCTGGATTTAACCCTCTCTCATTTCTTAGGAAACCTACACGGTCAGTTACTTTTCCCTCCAGTATTTTCAGCCTTTCTCCTGACTGGATTCTTGCCATTAGCATTTAAACAGGCTCAACTCTTGCACACGCAACAACATTTCAACTCACTTCCCTCTCTAGCTACTTCCCCCTCTTTCTCTTGTCCTTTGTAGCCAATTTCTCAAGTTTTCTATACTTTGAATTTCTGTTTCCTTACCTGACACTCGTGTATCAATCCTTTCTAAGTGACTTCTGCCTCGATATTTGTCATGATCACCTATAACCTCTTGTCTCAAATCCAGTGTATAGTTCCAATTTTCATTTCCCCTGTATTTTGGATAGTTCGTCCCAGCTGGCCCCTTCCTTGGGGAACAGTTTCCTCCCGTGGCTTTCTTACCTCGTACTCCAGTTTTCCCGCCTTCAGCTCCTGCGGTCTTTTTCTGTCTTCTCTCCTAGGTCGCGGGATGCTGGAGCCTCTCCCCTTTGCACATGGACTCTCCCCAGATGGGATCCCTAAGCAGAGCATCCACATGGCCCTGCCCTGCACTGTCTCCTCTCTCAACCTCACTTACCCTCCTGCTTGCTGACTCTTCTCCATCCACAGCAGCCTCCTCAGTGCTCCTTAAACCTACCAGGCAGAAATGAGGTTTTGGAAATATTTCGGTAAAATCAACGAATTAGATTTCAACACATTAGCCAGACACGCTTCCCTCTTAGGGAACCGCGTATGAGGCTGTTAGGTCTCTGAGCTGACATTCAAATCACCTAAAAACAAAGCATAAGGGGTAGGTCAGACAATGGACACTTGTAAACTCAAACAAGCTACTTAATAGCTTTTGTACCAACTTTGCATTTGGCAGAATTTTCTTGAAAGGGAGATGCTGGCTTTTTCTGAACATCTCTAAACATGTCAGTTCTTCAGTTCTTTTCATCTTCAATGTAGCAGATGGCAGAGATTCTGCGCACAAAAATTCTTGGGTAGATATTTGTTGCTCTGCCTCATCATGTGATTATTTATTATAATCGTATGGCAAAGGATAAGGATGCAACAATGAGAGAATGAATTAAGAAGCTAATGTGACTAGTCTAGTTTGCTCCTTGAACTAAAAAGAGCTGATGCTGAGAATTACTTTAGGCCCAAGTTCTAATATCGTGTTAATTTCTCAGCTAATACCTTATAGAGGTTGAGGCAAAGAAGAGAATAAGTTAAATGAAATCTCGTAACACGGCTGCACTGAACAGCTATGGCATCCCGTAGCCCCGTACTGATCCACGTTCTCATTCCTCAGATAGTTTTGTGCCATTCTCCCACCTTCCCTTGATTTAATTCCATTTTTTTTGAAGCCAGGAAATACATTGATATGGTCCCCAAAAGTGCAAATGATATAGAAAGGTAAACACAAAAGAAATCTCACTTCCATTCCTGTCCGCATCCACTGTTTACATTTGTGTTAATTTCCTTTATCCTCCTGGTCTTACTTTATGCATATTCTTATCCCCTCCCCACCCCCGCTTCCCTTTTCACACAAAATAACAGCATCCTGTCTATAGTATTCTGTGTTTCCATCTTTCCCACTTAATCTGCATGCTGGAGATCTGCACCTGTCAGTTGAAAAGGAGCCTTATTCTGTTTCATAGCAAGTCGTGCTCCGCTGTGTGGATGTATCAGTGTATTAGCCTGTCTTCTTTACAGTTGGGTTGCTGCTATTTTCTTTTTACCATTGAAACAATGTTGTGAGGAATAATCGTGCACATTTTGTACATGGACTGGTGTGTGGGTAGTGTGGATTCCAAGAGCTGAGAGTGCTTCTTCAAAGGCTAAAAAATGACAGGTATCGTCAGATTCTCCTCTGCAGAGAATTACGCCACTTTGCACTCCCAACCAATGGAGAATACATTTCCCCACAGCCTAGCCGAAAGAATGTCATCAAACTTGAGGATTTTGGTCAATCTGATAGATGACAGATAATACCTTAGTTTAATTTGCATCTCTCTTATGATGACGACTGAAGCTTTTTAACCTGAGGTATAAGGGTCTTTGTGTGTGTGTGTGTGTGTGTGTGTATGAACTGTTCATGTCCTTGGTCCATTTTTATATTGCGTTCTTGGTCTTTTTCTAATATCTAAGACTTCTTTATTTAGCAGAGATTAAAATGGGCTGGACTGTCAACACAGTACAGAACTAAAGCTTTAAATGTGTCTCAAAGAAGTTATTCATCCGCCCCCTACTCCTTGGAAACAGGAATAATCCCCTATTCCCAATTAGGAGAATTTTATCTTGTTTTCTTATTTTAAAAGTAATGTATGTTCACTATAGAAACATTGGAAGAAATGTAAAACCACTGCCCTTTGCACTTTCTCATATTCCTTTTCTAAGTACGTAAACAGGGAACATCTTCCAGTGTCACAATCCCATCTCCCAGGTGATCCTCAGGGAGCATCAGTGGTTTAGCCCATACCCCCCAGTTCTTTGCCCCTCCTCTATCAGCCCTGAGAAAAATCTGCGGGCGGAAAAGGATTCATTTCAGCAGTAGCCTTCATACCCAGCTATTCTCCATTCCTCAAAGCAAGGAAACAAACAGAAGTATGGTCACAGTTACGGACTGCGGTCTAGGCAAGCTTGGCGTCCTTCTTGGTGTCAAGGTAATTTTACAAACAGGGCCTTCTGAGAGGGCCCCGAGGAGAACAGGAAGGCTGCTGATCCTGTTCGGTAATTTGTCACCATCTCAAAATATTACATTCTCTTTGGCCCTTCCAAATCAAGCTCTTGGCTCAAAATATTTTAACTTCAATTAACAGCACATCAGAAACAACAAAAAACTTGAACATGTTGGCAATTCTAAGTTAAAATTTGTATTTTGACATACATTTTTTACAAAATTGTCACACATAACATACCCCAAGGTACAATTACACACTTCATTTACAAAAAGTTACAGCTGTAGTCAAAACAAATAGGTGTCATTTATAAATGTGTGTTTCTTTCTTTGAGCAAAAGGAAGCTCGTGGGGAAAGTCAAGATTGAAAACCAGTGGGATACAGCGACGTAGGGACGGCTGACATCCCCCCTGAGCGAGGCAGCTGGGAGCCTGGCCTTAGCGGCTTGGTCCCAGCAGCATCTCCTCTCTGGCCTTCAGTTTCCCCAGGCACCAAAGGAGGGAAGACGCAATGAATTCTAAAGTCCCGTGTACCATGGTCCTTTCATTTCAGAGAACAGTATGTGATCATAACAGTGTCTCCTTCGATTGTAAACATCAACAGGCTCTCACTTATGCTCAAAAGATTTTACTACAAAGAGTGCTATGGTTTGTATCATGACTCTCACCATCTTTGGAAAATTTCCATTTCGGAAGTTTGATTCACTTTGCTTTTTGGAGCTTCCTGCCTTGGGGGCATCCTCACGCAGGAGGAAACTAGCCTCCTGAAGCCATAGTCTATGTCTCTGCCGTCATCACGCAGGCTGCGTGCGCTGTGCTCCGTTCAGGTTCAAACCATCTTCTAATTTGGGGTGTCCCGCTGATTGATTTGCTGTTTCTTCCTTACACCTCAGTGTTTATTCTGTAAGTTGCAGTAAGTTCCCGAAGAATTTCTTCAATTCACGCTGCTCTGTGTTGATCCAAGTTGGAAGCTTTGACAGAAGCACCCCTCAGATGTGCTGCTGGTATGTGAGGCCCAGCGGCTGGTGGGTGAGCTGCGTTTTAGCACCTTATACTTCTAACTCTGTCTGCCTCTGTTAATGTTGCATTTAACCTTAAAAGTCACCTTAGTTTGCTCCCACTTTACCTCAGTAAAACATTTAGTTCCTTTTCCAATATTAAACTTTTTTTTCATTAAAACCAACAAAGATATGCTCAGAACAGACATCACAAAACCACACACTCAGATAAGTGATAAAAGAGTATCCTTCTCAGGGAGGGGGGTGGGTGGGTGTGTATGTAGCTCAGTGGCAGAGTGCAGGCTTAGCTTGCCCAAGGTCCTGGGTTCAATCCCCAGCACCTTCATAAAAAGATAAAAAACAAACAACAACAAACAACAACAACAACAAAAATCAACACACCATTTTCTTATCTCCAAATACTAATTCTAAGATCAAGCCCTTGACCATGCCCACAGACCCCCAGGTTCCATGGTGTGATTATATATATATTCCACATCATTATTTCTATAGTTTGACAAAAACCAGAACACATACTCTGAAATGAGGGCATATCGACATCATTGCAATTCATTTCTGCAATGTTTAACTTCTTCCACGATTCCCTGAAAATTTGTAGCATCGCATCATCACTAAAACTTGATTATGAGGCTGTTAATTTACAATCATTTCCTCTCATAATGATTATATCACTACCCACTTTTATTTATATTCCTAATTAAATTCAATTTCAACTACTTGACTCTGTTTGAGGTAGCGCCATAATAGTTCTATTGCTATGAAAGTGGCATATCTCAAAGTATCACCTGGAGGGTCAGATGAGATTTAAATGAGAGAGGAAAATACAGTATCAGTTACACCATTTGCTCATTTCACATACAAATTAAAAAAAAAGCACCCATTTCTTTAGTTATTAAAAATAGAGTTCTTTTGTGAGCATGGACACAATACATGGAATCTGTTTCTTTGCATGAAAAGCAGAGTCAATGGAAAAAGACTCAAACTCTATTGCTACCTTTCGGTTAACCCGAGTAAGAATGTGCATCAGCTCAAGTTTGTCAGCGTACTGTTTCAGCATTGCACAAAGTGACTGGATGAACCAGGATCCATCCTTTGAATTTCTCCAGGAATAGTAACCTACAAGGCAAAATATAACCAAAAAATCATGGGTATCTGATGTTAGCCGACTTAATAAATCATTCCATAATCATGAAGGAAAAAACAGGCATAAACATCCAAGCATTATTAGCCATAAAAACAAACAAATAAATGACACGTTTGATTCCAGGGGAAAGCAAAACAGAAACAAAAAAGACAAACATGTGCTGTATATATAATAACCTCCGCTTTCGACCAGGAAGAATGAGTTGTAGACTAAGTTGGCCATTGAATTACTGAGAATTCTACTTCCTGGGCTTCCCTTCCAACAGGGGAGAAGAGGTAAACACACGGGGGACGCAAAAGCAAAGAAATCAAAAGGCTCATTGTAAGTAGCATCGTGTTGCAATCAGATTATTGGCTTATCCAAGAAATAAATTGTTTCAGTATGCACACACATTTGAGAGTCCTAAACTGTCTACAGGACATCTGACTAGAGTATAATAAACACATTATAGCATATTTAGAAGTCCAGAGGGGAAATAATGTGTTGATTGTACTTTTCCGAGATTAACTATTGGAGCCACAGCTTTTAACTTGGATATACTTTATCTGGAAAGATGCCTGGACGTTAAAAAATATCATATTGAGAATATTTAAAAATGTAACGCTGTTTAAAGATACATTTGCCCTATATTTCCAAACTTTGTGACACCCTTAGTTGTATAATAAGTAAACAACTGTATGATCAATAAATATTTATATGATGACACGTAACACAACTACCAAAAAGTAGAGGTTAATAGCCTATTCATAAACCATTTTTCACTTTATTTTCCCTCATTCCACCTCTACTTGCTCATATGCTATTCATGGTTATCCGTTTTATTTCCTACCTTCCAAAGAATTCCTGGAAAACACACCTCTCTCCTATTCCAGGAAATGGGAAAAGCTCTGAGTTGGCCTATGTTATAATACAGTATCCATGAGGTAGTAAGTTCATGAATGACACTGTGTAAGTATGTTTTCTTATAAATGCATATTTTCTAGTCAAACTTCGCCAAAGACAACCTTTTGAGACTTGCCTGTGGTTAAGGTACCCTAAAATATAGACAAGTTGGCTTTTTTTTTTTTAAATGGATATCAAACTCTTGAGAGCCTTCGGAACACCCTCTTCGTTGTTTAAAATCTATGTACAACACTCATTATTTGTCTCTTGTAAGCTTCTTACCAGGTGCTGTGGAGTATGCATACAAGAAGTCGGCCTCAATGGGTATTTTCTGACAGGCCATGTCGTCCTCAACGCCACTGTCTGTCTCAATCCCACAGTCCAGCTCTGTGCCTCGGCAGGCCTAGAGGTTAGAAAATAAACATTTATTTTTTTTTAAAAATGTGTGTTCATGCATAACTGTTATCTCTAAGAAATGTAAGGGCTGTGTAAAAATTGATATTAATGATGCAGAGTCCTTTTGCTATAAGTCTAAAATTAAAATTTATTCTACCTAGGTGGTGGGTTAAATAAAGAAAAAAAGGAACAACAGTTCAGTAGCTTTGGGGAAGAAAAATAACTCCTCTGGATAATCTCCAACTGCGTAATGAATCCTCAGTGACCAAGCTGCTCAGTTACATGTATTACCTGAATAATGAAAAGTTTGGGTTTTCCGGTTAGGCTTCTACAACTGTCCCCTCTGAAGAAGCTTGTTAATTTTTTCAGATCAACAGCCCCATCTGTTCCATAAATCACTCCTTCTTCACCATGGCTTAGAAGCACACAAATGAAACTGCTCCTTTTGCTATGATCTTCTTTAGAAACTGAAAAAACATGTACAAACAAGAAAAACAAACAAACAAAAAATCAATGCAATTTTATTCAACAGTCTCATATATACTGTATGGGAACAAGATGAAGAAATCTGAGAATAGAACTAAGAAATCATGTAAACCCAGCTTGGGGCAGAGCAACAGATCTCAAACCATTCTAGGGGGTTGGTACGAATAACCCATTTTACTTATTAAAAATATAGGGAGTCGGATTATGTATAGTTCCACAATTCTTGTGTTTTTTTGGTATATACGTATATATGTATAATTACAGATAGACGGTAACATAAATTGGACAATGAAGGCCATGCTTTGAATTATTTCTTACCATTGTACATTAATTTCAAAATTTCTTCACATGTAAGATCATTTTTATTTCTGACTTCGTATTTCAAGTTCGTGAACGTTTCCCTGAGGTTTGCTGCGTCTACATCTGTACCAGACCGACATGCCATTCCTTGGACAGAAAAACATTTCTTTTAATTGCATTTAAGAAAAAAAAAAGATAAACTGCTCTGAAATGAACTATTCACACAATCCACAATAAATTCTTCCTTTCAAATGCTAAGAAAATTCAATTATCCTGATCATGGTAACACAAAGTCTCTTTCATTTCTTAGCATATAAGACACTTCATGGTATAAGCTGTATACAGTCACAAAGATGTCTTTCATAGCTGCTTCGATAGTGAAAAACAAACAACTTAAATGCCTAACAAGAGGGGTTTGGTTACATAAGTCATAACTCATTTATCTAATAGGACACTATGTTGCCATTAAAATTCTGTAGATAAAATTTTGCCATGGGCAAATGGTCCTTGTTAAAAAAAAAAAAGACTAGAAAACAATAGCATCCTACTTTTAAGATTTTACACACACACACACACACCCCTCACACACTCAGAGGAATTATTTCTTTGATTTAAAGTTCCCAGCAATTCTAGGATACATTAGTACTTTCATAATATTTTTTCAGGAAAACACACACACACACACACACACAAACCACTACACCACCTTAATACTGTTCATCAGGCATCTGTTCTGAGTGATCTCCTTTCATCCTTCCAACCACGACTGGCTGGTGGTTATCATGACTAGCTTCATTTGTGCACTAAGTTAGTGTGAGGCCTGTACAGGGCTCCCGGGCTTCCCTCATTCCTCACAGTGCCTTTCACACACGTGTCCAGGTTGACAGGACAATGTACTCAAATTGAAAAACCCTCAAGCATGGAGGGCTGGCATGGGAGGACACACAGAACTGAGTATATTTAACATGTATGAATGGAAAAAAGAGGAAATGTTTCTATATCCAAAGTGGTGTTGATTATCTCGGAGTTGTGTGACTGTGAGTGATCTTAATTTTTAATTTTTGCTAATCTGTAATTTCTGTTTATGACCATGTATTATTTTTATAAAATTAAAATAAGCTCATCAAGGTTTTGACATTGGAACTGCTGAGGACACTATGCAGCTATGTGGCAAGGTAACTGAATTCTGGTCCTGGTTTGTGAGCCTTCTGTAGAAGATTAAGAGTCCACATTGAATGTTAGGAACCACAGGATCCTGTTCTAGCTCTACCTCATGGCCATTCTGAGTCATTAGTTTACTGACTAATAACATCAATTCTGTTTTTTTATATTATATCAAATGCAAATGGTACAAATAAGTGAAAAGGATTCAAAATTATATTATGATACATACCAGTACTTTTATGAAAGTTCTTAATATTAATTATTAAACATAAACCCATTTCAGGATAATCCATTTTATAACTATTGTCTAAGGGTAGTCCAGAGTCCATTGATTTGCTTCCATGGAAGATATTTCTGTTTGGAAATCAAATAATAGTTTACAAAGAGAGAAACGGCCAATGCTACTGTTCACATTAATCCAACTTCTCTGACACGTAAGAACAGTTAACATTTGTTGAATGTAATGGGCCACGCTGTGTGTGACAGGCTTTTCCTGACTAAAATTTCACAAAAACCTATTTCACAGATAAGTGACCACCACCGGGCTAAGTAATGTGCTGACGGTTACGCAAGATACCGTGTCAGACCAAGGCTGCAAGCATGTGTTGGACTTCAGCGATTAGACTTTTAATCTCTATATTTTATGTTTTCCTCTAAATTTTATTAAAATTTCACCATACACTTTACACTTTAAAAAAAGGCTCAAAATACAGTATTTATCACAATTCCTAAATTATTCCTTAACCCTATGAGATGAACAAATTAACTTATTGCTGCACAGAATTACTGTTGTAAATAATTGAAAATACTTGTCTGAAGATCACTTATCCAAAAACCCGTCATCTAGACCAGGGTCAGTAAACTTATTCTCACAGGAAGTCATCTGGGCGTCTCTGGCTTGAAAGCCCATATTCTTTCTGTTTCCTCAAAGCTTGCTGTGTTACACACACCCGTCTTTCTCTGACTGTCTAAGATTTCATTTAAATACTCACGTCTCCAAGGTTTTAATGGATTTTGAATCCACTGAGTTTTCAGTGTTCTCCATGGATACTTTTATTAACTAGAATGTAAAGAAAATAGGTATCAACCAAAATCAGTCCTTATAAGACCACTGCGTTATATTAATTACTCCAATGATTTCTCTAAATTGACACTTCATATGGACCTCGTCACTGTAGCATGACCATCTCTCCCCCAGCTTCACCTCCACTGTTGAAAGTTTCTGAGTCAAACCTGAGGACTGCTCCAGAGGGCTTCTCATTGGCCTCTGCTTCCACTCCAACCTCCTGCAGATGCTTCTCCACTCAGCAGCCAGAATGATCTTTTTAAAGCATGCTGTCCTTCCTCTGCTTAACACACTCCAGTGGTTTCTACTTGCAATTAGCGTAGAAATGAGGCTCCTCTTGGTGCCTAAGACCCTATGCGATCTTGCCTTTCCCGCTGGCTGGAGGAAGCTCGGGGATTATCTGATTTTATAGGGTGTCTTCTTCTGACTGGCCTTCTCCTTACTAGGCTATTTTACGACTTTGCAGGAAGTTAAGCCATAGAAAACAGACCCCACGTGAGTGACTCTTGCCAATAGCTATAGCAACGGAGATGCGTTTTGTCTTGTAATGATGTAACTGATTTCCAACCTATAGAAAAGATGACCCTCCCAAATTACATTTTATTACCCTATAGGATATTAACCTATCTTGCTTCTATCAGCAAATTCATTTCATTATATGCAACCGCTTACATCTACGTTTGCTGGGTTGAGGAGAGAATGGGAAAACAACAATGAGTAAAGACAACACAAGTGAGTAAACACAGGTTTACTGTGAAAGGGAATGGAGATGGGATAGTACGGGGAAGGGGCAGAGATTTCTTGTTTTGTCTGGTTTTAAAGATGGGCCACCTAAGGCATGTCTTCAGGCTGATGAGAATGATCCACGTTAAGTGAGAAATTACTAAGGCAAGAGCAGAAAAAGAGCACAGCTCTTGAAGGGATGAGAGGGTTTGTGAATCTAGCTCACATATGGAGAAGCACTAGTCTCAGATCAGAACAAGGGTTCAGCTAGTGTAATGAAAGGAGGGCAAACTATTCGACATAATGTGTGAATGTGATGCAAGGCAGACGAGGCACCCATTTTCTCTATATTTAGAAGATAAAGCGTGAGACAAAAATCCCCAAATGTCCCATCTATACCTTCCTGTGTACTCACCCATGCATTTTACCAAGTAATACAAAAACTAATCATGCAGAAAGCTAGCAAAGGTGTGAGGCAGGCATTCCCACACACCACTGGAAGGGACGGAAATCAGCATCATCTCTTGAGAACACTGTGACAGCAGAACATTGTGACCCCCTCAATAAAAGCCTTAAAGTTTGCTCTGGTAAACTTACACTTCTAAGAATGCAGCCTGAGGAAACAACTGTAGGGATCAGGGGGAGGAGGAAATGGAAGCATATGCATTACTCATCAAAATACTGAGAATTTGGGTGGAGAAATAGTTGAGTTATGATTGTATCTGTACATTGGTCAATACAGCTATGAAGCTTTTTAAAAGAACTTATCCATGACATGGGGAATACTTACAAGGCTAAGTAAAAACAGGCTATAAAATTGTATAAAAAAGATTTAATCTCAATTAAACACAAGAAAAAGACTAAAAGTAATTACATAGCATCTTTATATATTAACCTGTTTATTAACAGCGGCTATCTCCGGGTGATGGAGATACATACAATAAACATGTATTACGTACGTGGAATTTCAAACTTCCTTGAACCAAATATAGAGAGAGGCCAACTTGCCCCAATGAATGTCAAGATGACAATCCATCCATACTTGAAAACAAAGCTGTAGTTAATTTGATTAATTGAGAGAGCAGTACAGGGTGGCTAACAACTCTGGAAACCTAGGCAGTTACGTAATAGTACGATTAATGTTTCAAGAAGACTTTATGGCCAGCCTGTGGAAAACACGGAGTGAAAACACAGTGGGAAAGAAGACTTAATAATTTCTGAGGGTGAACCCAGAGCTCCTGCCGGTGTCCTTCCTGACCCCAGGGTTTTTGCCTCAAATTGGCCCTTTGGATGAGTTTGCCAAATGTAGGGTACACAGGATGTGTTCAAGAACCCCTAAATGCCTGTATGTTCCCACGAACGATCAAGGCCCTAAGGTCTCTTACCGAACACTTCTTCAAACAATGATGCAATGGTTCTCAGACCGAAATACTAACTTCTAACAACCTTTTATTTTTCACCAACAAAAGCTGTAGGATAAAATGATTCTACATTTATGACCGTTAATAGAAGGTTTAGATTTAAATAGTGGCCAGCTTTCCAGAGTTTTAAGACAGTTATCCTTGAACAATTTGAGTTTGAACTGTGTAGGCCCACTTATACATGGATATTTTAAATAGCAATTACTACAGCCCTAACTCCATTTGAGCTTGGCTGAATCTATGGATACGGAGCGGGGCTATGGAGTGCCAACTATAAATAATATGGTCAGATTTTTGACTATGGGGAGGGTCCCCTAACCCCTCTGCTGTTCAAGGGTCAACTGTATCTTGGTTCATACCAAGGTTAAGATTTCATCTAAATAATAGGTGACTTTCAAGTAGTCATTTCCTTTTTGTACATTTAATCAACAAATAATTCTTAAAAGTTAAGAAAGTTTCCGGTAGGTTAGCCTTAATACAAGTAATTGTAATTAATAATTTCTGGTATTAGACACCAGATAGACAATTCTGTTTCAGTAAGGTAGCTGATGGCTGAAAGAAACCTGAATTCTTTTAGAATAGGATTTAAAAGTTTCTAATTGATAAAGGATTTCTCAGGAACAAATACTATAATGTATTTCCTTCCCTTTGTTATTAGTATCTGAATAATATATATTGCAACAGTATCAGCTGACCTTCATATACTATTGAAAATGTATCTAATAGCAGATGAAATCCTCACTGCATCAGACATGTGCACATCTGCTCTCCACTTGTCACCATCTGCTTTTCCCACACAAAAGCAGCAAATCCACACTCTTGGGAACAGAGCTTTGGTTCCTGCAGAATTTACTTAAGGGTTATACTCAGCATTACCTCATCTCCATTAGCTAATGCCTGGCTGAATATTCTGGGTGTGGTGACCTCATCTTAGAAAGATAAAATAATGATCCCCCGAGGGAAAAAATCATGCCCTATATGATGACAGGAGTTAGTTCTTGGAACATCTTCATTTGACAAAGCATAAATAGGAATAGGGGCTTAAAAGAAATACTGCGATTCAGCAATAGACTTAACACTGATTGTTTCTCACTGTACTGATGTTATGTAATCCTTCCCATCAATTCAGGATGCTGATGATACTACATTCAGAACACAGACTGGGTCCCAGAGAAGTTTGGGTTGAAGTAGACCAATTGATATTAGATGCCAATCTGGAACCTGGGTCTTAGAATCAGGTCTCTAAATTCCTAGATCCCTTTAGCAGTTGCCACTGAAGCTACAACAGTTGGATTTTCAAAAAGTAAAAAATTTTCTCAGTAGAAATTTACTGCCACACAAAAATACCTACAGAAGTGAAAAGTTGCAATGATTTCCCTATTTATTGCGGTTAGCCAACTAAAGGGATTATTGTATATTGTAATAATGAAGTAAAACAGATAAATTATCTATAGGGATCAAGGAGAGGAATAAAATTAATTTCTGAAATTGAAATTTCTATATGAAGTTATAAAGCATTAACATTTGGGGGGAAGAGTTATTAAAGGCAGTTTGAATGTGTGCCTATGGTAGAGATTTCAAAATGCGTTATCAAGCGAGTATAATCAGTCTGAGAGATTCATACTCAGCTAACCTGTCACCCACCAGTGGGCTGGCTGTTCTTACTGCCTGCCCTACAAGGAAACTGAGGTAAGGGATTAAAGCCTGGTCTCTGCCCTACCAAATGGGTTTTAAATCTCAAAATGAGACATAAGAACCAACACCACTTACTTTTGATCACTTCCACGAACATGACTGTCTTAAAAAAAAGTTGTAAGTAAAAATTTACCAAAACAGGTAGCCAAAGAATCATAATGCAAAGTGTGATTTGAATTTTACATAATAACAGTTCCTCTTAACTGCTGGCTTCTAGGGGCTGGACTCTGAGCTAAAAGGTACATTTATTTATGTCTTTGTAATTTATGTATTTCTAGTTAGTCCTTCCAATGATGCTTTGAAGTATATGATTCCCATTTTACAGGTCAGTTGACTGAGGCTTAAAGTAGTCAAGATGGCAGACCCAGGACTCAAACGAGGATCTGTCTGTCTTGAGAGGATGGACTCCCACACTTGAACGTGGCTTAGTACTACATAGGAGGGGTAACACTAACAATAATTTCAAAGAAGGAAAACAAAAATCCATAACCTGGAAACACTAGGATGAGGCAGAGAGCATAAATAACATGACCGAAACTGACTACAGACTGTGAAATAGTATAAAGTGCACTTACTCCAATTCATGAAGAAAACAGGAATGATGGTTATGGTGTTTTTGACACCACTGGGTAATTTATTTCTTAAAGTAAAATAGTGGGTTTCATACTAAGCATTCAGTATAAGTCATTCAGACCTTTTTTCTATGTCTCTATTGGCCTCGAAAGGAAAGGTAAAAAAAAGACAGTAATGAACATATCTAAAAAACAGAAACAGACTCACAGATGCAGTAAACAATCTAATGGTTACTGGGGGGAAGAGGATGGGAAGGGATAAATTGGGAGTTCGAGATTTGCAAATATTAACTAGTATATATAAAATAAACAACAAGTTTCTTCAGGCACAGGGAACTAGACTCAACACCCTGTAGCAACCTATAATGAAAAGGAATATGAAAATGAATATATGTGTGTATCGTGTATGACCGAAACATTATGCTGTACACCAGAAATTGACACACTGTAAACTGACTGTAATTCAATTAAAAAAAAAAGTAAGGGAAAGGTAAAGGCTTTTCACCATGACTTCTGGGGAGATTATTCAGTCCTCCCTCAGTATGCATGGAGGACTGGTTCTAGGACAACTCCCCCCACAATACAAAAATCTTCAGATGCTCAAGTCCCTTCTCAATGGTGTAATAGTCAGCCTTCCATATCTGGTTGCAGAACATGTGGACAAGGATGATGGCCTGTAGTTGGGCCAAAGAACTCAATAAAATCGGGGTCATATTCATTACCAATGACTGAGGACAAAGTCTCCAAAGCAGATTTAGTAAGCATTTAGTAAGCAAAACAGGAATAAGATAATTTTCACAATAGTTTGGATAAGAGATTTCCGCTGTAACGTACAGGAAGACAGGCTGGAGGGCTCTCCACTCCTCAGAGCACAAGCCAGGAAGAACACAGTACTTACTTAAGTGCAAGGGGCCATCCTAAAATGGCATCTCTGGACGGACAAAAGAAGACATGGGGAAGCCCTCAAAGACTTAAATTGTGTTATAAAATAAATGTAGAATGAAGGATCTTGGCTACCTTTCATAAAAATTACAGATAACCCAGAAGGCCTCCTCCCTCCCACTGAGAACCACTCCTCCGCAGAAGGAGCTTCAGTTTGACAACCACCTGCCAGAGAAGGTGCGAAAAGCCAGAGTCAGCAGTATTTATTCATTTGTCATTTGTGTGGTGATAACTGACTGAACACCAACAGTACGAAGTAATGGAGGAGACCAAGATCCTATCCCTGCACTGAAGCTCACTGTATTCAAAAGCGGCTCATCACGACAGATGCCAGACAAGGCTCAGTACAAAATCGGTAACTTTATGCTCTAATGCAGAAACCCTATAAGCAATCTGAATACCTAAATAGGTGTAGAATCAACAACATTACGTAGAGATTTACAAAGCCTTGTCACAGACATTACCTCATCTCATCCTCACAATAACCCTATGAAGTATATTACTCATGCCCAATTTATGAATGAAATATAATTGTCACCCTAGGGACTAGGGAATGTGGCCTCAGGTTCTGACAGCAGAGTACCTATTCCCCTCCATTACATTTGTATTTGTTAAATGAATACACAACAGTATCTAAGTCTAAGAATTCCACATCTTTTTAAAGACCCAAACACCAGTGCTTTCCATCTTTCAGGCAGAACCAAGAACTATCTAATATTAGGCACCAGAGTTGACTTAATGCCATTCATGAACCTAAAGACTGCTTTCCTGCATTAGAAGGGGGTAAAGCAGTAGGAGATTGTGTTAAATTGGGTGTGAAAGCAAAACAGGAAAGAAGCATTCTATAACTGCCTCTATTAGTTATCAGTCTCTCAAAATCACAGGAGACAACTTTTTTCCAAGAAAGCAAAAGCAAATCTGATGTACTTGGATACAATGTTTCATTTCTTCCTTAGTGTGAACAGGTTTTATTGTTACACTCCAATAAACTGTTCATTCATTAAAACATATTTTAACTTTCAAAAGCCTTCTTCCGCAGAAGAGCAAAGCAAAACCAAAGCTCAAACATCAGGTTGGGATAGGAATGATTTAAGCCTTACATTTCATTCTTAGAGATCAGGTAATTACTACTCAAAGAGGCTGAGTGCATTTTGATACAGGCTTTTCTAACCACCTTGCTTATTGCTTAATATCTCCTAACACAATCCTGCCTGCATATATCGTTATAGCAAGTCCGTATTTCACCGCTACCACTCCTTTCTAGTCCACATCTTTTAATTATAATTTACTAAGTAATTCTAAAACAGGTCTATTTTTTTTCTAGCTAGGGCATAATTATTAAAAAGCATAATACTATAAATGGGCATTCACTTGTGCCAGGGCCTGGATGTGGGGAAAGACAACAAGAAACACAATAATAAGCACAGTGGCTCACGGAATGTGGTAAGGAGCTAGCAGGAAAGAGTGTAAAAATAAGCAACTGCAAAGGATATGACATTTTCCTCTTAGGACCCGGCAGATGCAAAAGGAACACATAATAGTTAGACTTAACCTAGAACCATTTAGTGAAAACAGAAATGTAAATAGGCGTTCCTCAGGCAAACGTATCCTGATGGGGAGCGGGAACGCTAGTGTTCCAGGAAAACAGGTATTGAGAGCAGCATGGCTGTGTAGAAAGTGAAACGGTGCAGTAATGAAAAATAAATCAGGGGAGGGGACCAATGAGCTAACCTGTGCTTGGCTTTGTTAACCATGTTAAGAAACAGAGTTTATCCCATGGGCAAAGGAACAGTTTTCTGGATTTTAATTTTGTAAAGATCCCTCAGCCTGGGCTGTGAAGAATGGACTGGAGAAGGGCGGAGGATCTGGAAGTAAGGAGGCTAATGAGGCTCCTGCAGCCAGGTGAGAGCCTAGAGGGGCTTAAATCTGAGATGGAGAGAAGTGGGCAGGTCCAGCGGGTATTTAGGAGGTCCAGAAGGCTTGGCAGCTAACTGGAGAAAAAGGTAGGAGAGGCAGCTGGGAAGATTGGTTCCTAGTTTCTTGGCTTGGAAGCCAGTTGTTGAGAACCGGGAAAGAGGCAGTTGCTTTGGGAAGTACGGCTTGAGAGCAGAACCACACAAGAGTGACAAAGGCACTCTGAGTCAACGGAGTGCTGAGGGGATTTGAGAGCAGCTCCTAAGGGATTTTGGCCATGGATACACAGTCACAGGCACGAGCTGGAAGGATTCATGGAGGCCTTCGGGTACGAAAATGAACAGGAGTTCAATATTTAAAATTACCTCTTTGGAAAGCGGGGTCTCACAGTCAACCCGAGAAAATCTAGGCCCGAGACAAAGAAGGCAGCAGAGACCAAACCCTCGCCCAGTAATGAGAGGATCAGCCCCGAGGCCTCTAAAACAGAACCAGCTAGCCTCCAGCCCTCAGGTCATCGTTTCTCTGCGCCCATCCCCCTCACCTCCTTCCAGATTCAAATTTCAGTCTTGGATCTCCGCTGCCTCCCGCTCCGGGGTCCAACCTCCTACCACCCTCCTAAGCACCCCAGCCTGGCCTCCCTCGCCTTTCCCGCCGAGGCTCAGCGACCTGGGTCAAGCCTCCTGCTACCTGGCTTCAGCATCCCGACCCGGGTCTCCCGACACCCCCATTCCCGGCCCAGCTTCTCGATCCTCGGCCCGGCCCCTCGTCCCCCCAGGCTCCGCATCTCCAGCGGGGTCTCCGCTCTCCCGCTCGGCCTCCTGCCCCCCGGCCGAGTCTCTGGAGCAGCGGTCTTTAGTGCCCGTCCCCGCCCCCGTCTTCGTGGCAAAACAAAGGATCTGCCTCTGGGACCGTGCCTGTCTCGCTCGTCTCCGCGAGCATCTGCTAGCCCGTTCAGGTCCCTGGGACTGGCGCTGGGCTCGGGAGGGTGGAGGGAACTAGTCCAGGGCTGACGGCGCAGCGATGAGAAAAGTCGAGGGCATCACTCACCGTTCGGCACCCAAGCCGTAGCAACCTGCGCCCTCTGCACAGCTCCCCGCCAGCGCTGCTTCCGTGGCGGCAGCGCTTAGAGCAGAGCTCCGCTGCAGGCCCCGCCCCTGACCCCGCCCCTCGGCTCCGCGCGCGCCTCTCCGCGCCGACACGTCCCTCAGGCCCCGGTTAGCCCCGCCCCGCCTCCGCCCGCCCGAGGACACCGCCCCCGGCCCCGCCCCTCGGAACACCGCCCAGTCCGAGAACACTGCCGCTTCACCACCTCGCGGAGGCCCCCCCGCCCCCGGCTCGCCGCGCCCGCCATTCCCGGCCTCCCGAAGGCCGCTCCCTTAAGTCGCCGCCGCAGAACACCGCCCCCTCACAGGCCCCGCGCGCTCCCCGCTTCCCGCCCGGTCCCGCCCCGGCGCCCAGTTTGAAGACTCCGTCGCGCCGCGGTGGGCAGGTGGCGGGTCCCGCCCGCCGCTGAGGACTCTCGCGTTTCTGGAGGTAAACGGAGGGAGACGTGAGGGCCGCAGGGACTGAGAGCGGGGAGGCGCGGGCGGGCCTGGCGCCCTGTCAGGGAGGGAGGAGGGAGCCGGCCGCGGCCCCCCGGGTCTCTGCTTCCCCTCAGTGCCCTGAGGCCTTCCGTTAGGTCGCCCCCAGTTCCCTGTTCCTGAGTCAGAAGCCTTAACTGCCCTGCTGGGCCCCCGCCTACGTAAGTTCAGAAAATCTTTTTAGACCCTGAATCATTTTCGCAGAATATGCCGATACAATTGGGCTTGGAAAATTCTCCAGGTTTTAAGAGGTTCCTGACACTCTGACAAGTCACGGGCCCCAAGTGAAGAGCTCGCCCACCTCCAGCGCTTTGGTTCATTTGGGTATAAATCAGGGGCGATATTTTGTACACAAATACACGTTGTGACCTCTGTGCCTACATTGGTTGAGTGCTTATCTGTCTTATTAATTTTGGCAGTACATTTTCTTTTCCTGTCAATGAACCCTGGAGTTGGGAATTCTGATTCTCACCTGGGCTTAAGAAAGTTAGTAGTTTGCTCTTGTTAAATTACACGAGTTAAACTCAGATGCCAGGAATAAAATCTAGGCCTTTACCCTTCTCAAACAGAGAGGAGCAGTGTGTGGCAGTCCTTTTCTTTGCTGCAGAAAAACTGAAGACTAGGTCCCACTCCCAACCCAAACAGTGGTTGGCATGCAGTTATTCATAAGGAAGGTACTAGTGTACCAGTTTTTTTCCTTTAAACCAGTCCTGTTACCCCATAGTGACACTTAAACTTCCTCTGCTAAACTTTCTTACCAAAATGATGCTTCAGTTAAAGCAGCAGCAGTTTTCTGTTTTTGTGTAAATTACACTGATTTACTTAGTCTGGGGAAACTTTGATTACAGCAAAACGATTGGCTTGGAGGCAATGTCTTCTGACTTAGTCTGGTAATTTCTTTTCACAGAGGTGTTTCAACAGGTGGCAGAACTTGATTTGAGCTTTGAAAGGGGAGAATTTGGGAAAGGTGAGTGGGGCATTCCAGGTGAGAGAAATAAATCCAGGAGGGCTCGTGGAGAGGGCCAGGTGCGGGGAGTGGTCATCATCATTCGTTTGGTGAGAAGGCTGAACAATAAGAAATAAAATGGGGAGGTGGTTTAAGGCCAACTCCTGTGAAGTTTGGGCTTATTGAGGTAAACTTTAGTGTGTATTAAGTGATGCACTGAAACATTAGTGGGTGTCCCCAGGACAAGTTATGAAAATGGTCCTAAGGGTGATTAATCTGGCAGATTTAGGCTGTTTGGATGGGAGATCATATAAGGAGGGTAGAAAGGTGGAACTGGAGAAAACACTGTGTCACTGGATGTTTTATCCCTTACAGGAGCTTTTTGGGAAATTTAAACGAGTACCTCTGTTCAGCATAGATAGGCAAAGAGACTGAAGTAGAAAAAAAAAGTCAATTAGTGTATTTAATTTTGTATGGTGTTAATCATCTGGGAAGTAAACTGTGTTATTACTCTAAATGAAGTTTAATCAACATACTTTATTATGAATACATTAGCAGTCGGAGAAATAGTATAAATGTATTATAAGAGGCCATAAAGGGAATTATATTAAGAAAACATTGCCAAATACCAGAACTTTACTAAATACTAGAACTGGAACAAATATGCCAGAAAACACACAATACTGTTGAATCTATTCTCAGGGCAGAGTGGGAAGTTGAAGTTGGGGAATAGGAATTGACTTGTGATTAGACAAAAAAAAAAAAAAAAAAAAGCTAGGCGAACTGGGCCAGAGAGAACCATAGAAGGCAGGCTTCAGCTCTCCCTAGAAGCCAGTTATCATGAAGAAACACATGCTGCCTAGTCCAGCAGCTCCTGGGGACCAGGCCGTCAAGTGTCACAGCTGAGCAAGTCTAGGCTTAAACCTAGGAAAACCAGAGTTACTTAGGTTGGCTGTCTGAGCCATCTCTTCACTCTCATTCTCACTGCCCCTTCTCCCACTCCAGAAAGACTAAGCCAGCCTTTATTTCCAGCCTTACCACCTTAAGTTGTAAAATTGGTACTAAAATTGATTAAACATTCTGGTGCAATGCTGCGAAATAATAGAGCTCTTAAGCCTGCTATTTAAAAATACAACAAATATTTTTCTTTGAAACTTGGAAACTATTAACCAAAAATAGTTATGGTCCTTGTGTGAAAGGGGTTTTGATGTACAGCTGTATACATGTGAAGAAAAAAAGCGCTATATCCCCACCAGGGATTAAAAGCATTTCTAAAATGGTAACATACTGTCCCAGAGGGTAGGGATGAGGAATATGATAGTTCAAATCCAGAAGTCTTCCTGTTCTTCATTTCCTTTGCTTTTGACATTCAACCCTCCTGCCCAGCTGTTAAAATTTTCAAACTGTGCACAGAACAAGAGGGCATCAAATATTTTGAACTTTTTTTTTCTGTTGACGTGCATGGTTTTTTCCAGTCCAGTAAGTCTTAAACTGGTTGTTAATTGTGACTGTGATTTTCATATATGATATACTCCTGTGGTCGTACCAATATTTTTACAAAACCAGAAATAATTTTCCTGATGTCAGTGTGATTAAGTGTGAACATCCACGTGGTAATTTCTAGTCAGTTATTGGTTAGGTATTAGAACCATAGTCCACATCTGATTGCATTCTGTGTTCATTTTCTTAAGTAATCAGTGGACTTTATTGAAAGTTAGTTTCATAGAAGAAAGTCAGTTTCTCAGTTAGGCTGTCTAAATGGAGGGGATTTTTATTTGCATGTGAAGTGGATTAAAATAAACTGAAAAATCAGACTCTAGCAATAAGGAGTCATATCACTTTGAAAAATTAACAAAGCTGTATTAAAATTTTTTCCATCTCTTCAGTCCAGGGAAATTATATATTCCTTTCCTAGGCATATCTGTTATGGAATTAATGTTGAGATCTTTAGAATTTTATTTATTTTTTGGTTTATAATTTATAAATTTTGTGTGGATTAGGCACAACTCTGAGAGAATAATCTTTTTTGGGTCTGTTATGGTTGAAGTCACTTTTTTTTAAACAATGTCATGACATTCCTACCCTCTCTTAATCTTTCAGGGTGATTCTATTTCTCCTTCTAGGAGTTTGCCAGTGAGTTGGTGTTGTTGCAAAGTTTTCTGCTAAAATTCAAGAGCATATTTATCAACTTGATGAACTCAAGTACTGGAAAGGCATTGATTGCCAAAGGTAAGTAGGAATTTTACTGTCATATGCTTTAGTATATGCTATTATTTCTCTTAAACTAATGTGTCTGTTTTCTACATATGTAAATTATGACATAGATGGTATTAGTGAAAAGGGAGATTGTCAGTTATCTATTTCTGTGTAAAAGCCAGGCCAAAACTTGCTGGCTTCAAAAAAACCAATTTTTTCTTAAGAGTCCTGTGTGTTGGATGGGCGGTTCTTTACTGGATCTCTCACCTGAACTCACTTGGGCTTAATCAAGCATTTAATTCAAATGATGGCTGGATGAACCAAAATGGCTCAACTCACGTATCTGACAGTTGGTGCTGGCTGTTAGCCAGGGTTCTTGGTTCTTCTCCAGATGGCCTTTTGTCCTCTAGAAGTCCAGAGTTACAGCATGAATCTCTGGGCAGGACTCCAGGATTGCCAAATCCAATGCAAAAGCAGTTATTAATCCTCTGCTTGCTTCGCATCTGTCGATGTGACACTGGCCAAAGCAAGTCACATGGCCAAGACCGGACTTAGTATGAGAATGGGCTTAGCTGGCATCTCTTTTTTGCTTGTATTGTTTGTTTTTCTGAGGGGGAGGTAATTAGGTTTCTTCATTGATTTCCACTTGGAGAAGGTACTGGGGATTGAACCCGGGACCTCTTGGGTACTGAGCATGCGCTCTAGCACTTGAGCTGTATCCTTCCCCCAACTGGCATCTCTTGATGGGAGGAATGCTGGAGAATTTATGCCCATTTTTAATGTACAGTGGTAGCTTTTTCCCCTTCTAAAAACCTACCCTGTTTCCTTTGTAAGTAAACCGTAATCCCAAATTGGAAAGGTATTGCCTGGCCCCCCTACTTTGGCATGGCTAACAAGGAAGCATTGCATGTAAACAAACACATGTCATTAATAAACAAAGAATAAAATACAGTCATTTCACATTGACTAGTCACAAAAATACAGTCATTAAATTAACAGACATAGGTTAAGATTTAGTCTTTTTTAAGTCATGCTTATGATTACCATATATCCCAAGCCAAAACTAGCCAATATTTTAATTCCCATTCATACATTGGGTTATCCTCCCAGCTAACTGTTGTTTTGGGAGAAGAGAAAAGCAATGAACAAAAAAAAGGGGGAAAGGGAGCTAAGAACTGCACAGTGGTGCCAAAAAATGAATTCTCCACTAAGAAATAATAGCACAAGAATGATGGCCAAGGTAGGAGCACCAGCTGGGCAAGGTAGATGGCACTTGATGCAATAAAATTATTGTAATAAAAACCATAGTGATACAAAAAACATATATATACGTGAGGCATTATAATTTGCAAAACGTTTTCATGTCTTACCATATTTATCCTCAAGATAACTACATAAAGCTGATATTGATTCTTATTTTGCAGCTGATTAAGATTCA